CCTAAAACCTAAACCCTAAAAGCTCTATAATCTCTTATAAATTCTATAAACGCGAAACCCACAAACTGAAGTCCCGGGCCGAGTGATTCGACTGCATAGAGCGGGCAGTACACGGGCACCTGGGGCGTTTACAATGTACCGGGCTAGTATAGGGTTCAGGGTTTAGGGTTTAATATAGGGGCCTTAATAATGAGAATAGGTTTTGGGGGCCCATTATACTATATTTACAAGGAACCCACAAAATAGCATTGGTAATTAATTTGGCCCCTACATTGGGGTTGTACCGGACCTTTGTTGCTGGGTTCATAAACCCTCAAAGGTATAGACTTTCAGATCTTTGAGGGATAATACTGTCCCCCAACAGTGCATAGGAAACTGATTCAGCCACTGAGGGGTTAGTAATTATAGGTTTGATAGAATATAATAATATATAAGAGAATATAAGAGAATGTAGATACAATCGAACATAAGATCACTTGATAGGGTGCTTTGTATGGACCCTGGTACTTTTGCGGTGTAGCTTAGGGGCTGAGTACCCTAGCCCAAAAACGGTTAACCTTCTCAATGATGGTAGGATTATATAAGGCCCAAAAGGTTAAAGGTTACCTACTCAGCTCCTAAGTTAGGGCCAGGGTCTCCTGATCAGGTTCCTACATTACGTACCGGTTCAGGCTCGGGTTTAGAGCTTTTGGGGGGCTCCCGAAACGGGGTAAGGTTTCAGGGTTCCTTTAAGGGTTTAGCAAGGTTTAGGGTTTAAAGGTTTAGGGGTTTTAGGGGTTTGGGATGTAGGGTTTCCCCTAAACCCTAAACCCTAAACCCTCAGAGTTTAGAGGTTGATTAATGTTAACACAAAGAGACTCCCATGTTCATTCATTTGGGGGGTGCCTTTCCTTAAGGATCGCTATTTAGGGTTTACGGTTTAGGGTTTAGGGTTTAGGGTTTAGGGCTTAGGGTTTAGGGTTTAGGGTTTAGGTTTAGGGTTTAGGGTTTACGGTTTACGGTTTAGGCTAGGTCAAGACTAGAGAGCTACGGTTCTACGTAGCCTTTTACATTTCGAAGTGCAGGATGAGAAACCCTAATCCCTTAACTTTTACGATTTGGGGGCGTGAGTTTCAGGGTTGAGCCGTTCGGCCCCCGGGTTACCGATATGCGGCGTAATCAGGCTTCTGCATGTTACGTTTAGGGCTTACGGTTTAGGGTTTGACTTTGCAGTCCAGGTGTTGGGGACATATTGGTAAGCTGTACACACCCGCCTTCAGCCCAGCCAGTGTCGAGATTCTAGGCTCAAAGGTTGAGGGTTTCAGGTTTTGCGGTAATCCACAACCCTAGACCCTAAACCCTAAACCTTAAACCCTAAACCCTAAACCTTAAACCCTAAACCCTAAACCTTAAACCCAAAAACCTGAAGGCCTCTGTAGAAACCTACAGAAACAGTGGATCAGCTTCTTGCTTTCGGGAGCACCCCCGCCAGCATCAGCTGGGCCTTTGCCCAGCGTGCGTTCAACCTGACTGGCCGTCTCTACTACCGACGGTTAAGGTTTAGGGTTTAGAGTTTAGGGTTTAGGGTTTAGGGTTTAGGGTTTAGGGTTTAGGGCGGAGACTTAAAACTATAGGCTTCTATAAGGTCTCTTGAGGTGCTAGAATCTGCTAGAAGCTTCGATCAGGCTGCAAGATCTGTAAGATTGGTAACGGGAAAACGATAAAGCTCTCTTATTCTCTGAACATGGATATCTTACTCTCGGGCTATAGCAGCACTGGTAAGATACCTTACACGCGAGGCTTTGGAGTCCATGCTCGTGGTGGACAGCTTCAGCAGTAGATTTATTGTGCGTGTGTGGGGCTTACTGGGTTGTAAGCGAAGCCTCCCCCCCCCCCAAAAAAAAAAAATATATATCTTGTTGACAGGAATACCTCAGCAATAAGAGCCAGTTTAATGGGAAAGAACCCCTAAACCCAAATTGCCATCTAGCTTAAGGTCCTACCTACCTAAACCCTAAACCCTAAACCCTAAACCCTAAACCCTAAACCCTAAACCCTAGTGGCTTCGGAGGTTGGGCGGCCCGTCTGGGTGGTCCGGGCCGCCAGGGAGCTTGGCCTGGCAATAGAGTTAGGGTCTAGGGTTTAGGGTTTAGGGTTTAGGGTTTAGGGTTTAGGGTTTAGGGTTTGGGGTTTAGGGTTTAGGCTAGATGAAACCCTAAACCCAAAAAAAAGAAACCTCAAAACAGGGTAAAGCGGTACTACTTGAAGCATCGTGGGACTTAGTAGCTGGGCTTTAAATAAAGCAACAACATCTATAAATAAGTACAATCCCAACTGAGCTACTTACTACAACCTTAGTAAGTCCCACGACCCTCCAAGTACCCTAAACCCTAAACCCGAAAGTATTCGGAGACCTAGGCACTGACGCTCTTCGATTGCAGGCGGAAGGCTATCTGCCTCACACGGAGCTCGAGGTCTTCCTCGGTGGCTGAGAGTTTAGGGTATAGGGTCGAGAGTTGAGAGTTCAGGATTTAGGATTAAGGGTCAAGTTTTATGTTTGAGGCGTGAGGGGTTTAGGGTTGACAGTTTGGCTTGCCTGTAAGTTGTCATGACGTCCCTTTGTCTGCCTGCCAACAGTGGGGCGCACAAGGAGAGGAAAAACTCGCAATTACCTCTGGCACTGGTGGCTCACGACCCTCAGACAGCTATTACTTAATTCGGAGGGTTGGAGGTTTGGGGTTTAGGGCTTACCCTGGCGAGTAGTATAGGGTCCTAAATAGTTAGAACAGGGTTTTGGGGGTCCATTATACCATAATTCTAATAAGGAACCCCCCAAAATAGCATAGGTAATTCCTAAGGCCCTACATTACACTAAACCCTAAACCCTAAACCCTAAACCCTAAACCCTAGACCCTATATTACAGCCCATGGCGGCGATGGGCTCGCTGCTGCTCTCGAGGAAAGGATGACTGTCGGTGATGCTGCTTGGAGGTTCATGGGTAGTTATAAGTTGGGTTATAAGTCCCCTAATATGGGTTATAACCCTAAACCCTAAACCCTAAACCCTAAACCGTAAACTCTATAGCTACCCTACTATAGCTACCCATGAACCTCCAAGTGGTGATGATGTTCCCAGAGACTTTCAAGGGCCCCTTAATTAAGGAATAGACCTTAAATCACATTAGGATTCCTATTCTAGTTTAAGATATATTCCTTAACTAAGGAATATACCATAAGTCACATTAGGATTCCTATTCTAGGTTAAGGAATATTCCTTAACTAAGGGGTTTTGGAGTCTCTGGGTTGGTGATGATGAGAGTGAAAACGATGGAGATGGTTGGCGACATGGTGGCATGGAGATGGCAGCAGAGGGTTATGGTGTTGATGAGCTTGACATCAAGGATTTGTGTGATGACGTCAAGCTGGCAATGATGGCAGTGAGGATGATGGCACTGGTGGTCATGCTCGTACAGAGGGTGTTGGAAATGCGATGGTGACATACTGATGGGAACGATGGGCATGACACCGCTGATGATGGTGAGGATAAACACTGTGATGCTGATTAACATGATAGTGATGGTGACGGTGTTGGTGAATAATGTGCGACACCAAACTGCCTGTATGGTGATGGTGATGATGATGATGGTGATGATGACGATGACGATGACGATGATCATGGTGATGATGATGATGGTGGTAATGACGCCGATAAAGATAGTGATCAAAAAATGATAGTGATATTACAAGAGAAAGTATGGTGATGGTGGCAGTGACAGTGACAGACCGGGACGATCATAACGGTGCGACGGTCGTAGTGTTTAGTTTAGTGGTTGTGGCGTGACAGTGACGGTGAGAGTGACGACGCTAGTGATAGTCACACTGATAGTGACAGTGATTCAGTGATGGCGATATCGACGGTGAATGTCATAGTGATAATAACAGTGATAGTGACAGCGACATGACAGTGATAGTGACGGTGGGAGCGACAGTGACGGTGAGAGTAATAGCGATAGAGACTGTGACCGTGATCGTGACAATGGCATTGGAGGTGAGAATGATGGTTATCATGAACGCGATCGTGACAGTGACAGTGATAGTGACCCTGACTGTGATAGTGAAAGTGATGCTGATAGTGTGATGATAGTAGCAGTGATGGTGACCGCGATAGTGATACCTATAGCGATACTGGTAGCCATTGTGATGGGGACGTTGATGGTGTTGGTGGTGTTCGTGGTGTTGGTGTTGGTGCTGGTGCTGGTGGTGGTGGTGGTGGTGGTTGTGGTGGTTGTGGTGGTGGTGGTGGTGGTGGTGGTGGTGGTGGTGGTGGTGGGGGCGGCGGCGGTAGCGGCGGTGGCGGTGGTGGTGGTGGTTTTGCTGCTGGTGCTGGCGGTGGTGCTGGTGCTGCTGCTGTCGCTTGTCCTGCTGCTGATTCTGATGCTGATGCTGATGCTGATGGTGATGGCGACAATGACTGTGATGGTGATGGTGATGGTGGTGCTGAGTCTGGTAGTGGTAATGATAGTGATGGTCATGAAGATGGTGGTAGTGGTAGCGGTAGCGGAAGTGATAACGGGAGTGATAAGATGGTGGTATGAAGCCGGTTGGCCATCACTGTCATCGTCATCGCCATCATGACAATGATGACGATGATCACGACCGAGCTGCCAGTGATGGTCCTTCATCATCACCATGACCAACTATGTACTGACCATTGCCATCACCACTATTGGCACTACCACCAGCAGCAGCATCATCTTCATGACAATCCTCATCATCGTCGTCGTCAGTGTTACCGAAATAATTACGATTGCACCCATGACGCTAGGTGCTTGTGGAAACCAGGGCCACGCTGGTGGTGGTGGTGGTGGTAGTGGCAACAGTGCTTGCTTACTGACTCTCTTTGTAACTCAAGAAAAACAGGCCTGCAAAAAAGTCCAAGCTTCTTGTGTACTGGAATACGATTGAGGCGCTAAGACACTTGCAATTTCCTGGAAAATGCTTTCCACTGCTTGGGCGTAGCTTGTCATCTCCGCATCGGTGAAGCTTCGGGCGACCCCAGCCACTGCATTCTCATAAGGCACCACAGGCACAACGAAATCCTAAGCTCTTGTTTAAGGTTTAGGGGTTTAGGGTTTAGGGTTTGGGGCTACCATGATAGGAATACATCGTGAACAGGCTGGCTTAATATCGTGAACAAACTGGTTTATTATAACGGTAATGGCAAGTAGATTTCGTGACCAGATTCTGGATCCGCAATGATGGGAAGGATGGCTGGCTGCGACGCAGAGAAAAGACCGATGAGCCACGATGCAAGGGCCTCTGAATGGAAGCATCCGGAAGAGCACACAAGCAGCGCTTTCGAGGTGGTGCTCGGAATGTCATCACCTGCCTCAAGCACCGAGGGCGACATTCGCACTTCCTTGTTCAGCTTCAGAAGTTCGAAGAGTACGTGTGCTGTTGCCACCGCTTCTTGATTGGCAGGATCGACAAGAATGATGCAGTCCGGGCGAGCTGTTCTGTCCAGGCACGGCCGCACTGTTCCGGTCAATGCATCGCACACCCTGCCAATGCCTAGGCAGCTCTTGCATAATCCTAATTTAAACCCTAAACCCTAAACCCTAAACCGGCAGACGACAACTTTGCCACTAGCGTGTCAACCATCTGGCACATCGGGGTTCGTTTACACGTCCCTCCCTACGCCCCTCTGTAAGGAGCTCCGAGGCAAAACGGCGACGTCCTAACTTACGGCTATTCTGAGACCAGCTGGCAGGATCATGCGACTTGGTAAGTAAAGATATTAGAGGGCTTGGCGTTTAGGCTGTTAGGGGTCTCGGGTTGAGGGTTGGGGTTCATGGGGCCTAGAGGAGTATGGGACTGAACAAGTACGGTCATAAGTACCTTAATTGGATTTAATTGGGGTCATAAGTTTTTACAAGTCTGGTTCGCATATTGGAACCCTAGTTACTGTGTCCTATGATCCTTTCGGAGGATTTGAAGGACTGCCAATTGCGGTTCAGGCACTCTCCAAATTCAAGGAGTGGGGGAAAGCGATGCATTCGAGGGTCCTCAACCAGCGCAGTGTCTTGCACACGTCGTCAATCGATATGCTGTAGGCCGTTAAGGCCTCAGTTGCCCTGTATATCTGAGTTTTAAGCCTCGGTTTTAAGGTCTAAAGTTTAGGGTTACTCTTAAACTCCATAAACAGCAGTGATAGTCATAATCGAAACAACAACTACATAATGAGGACAAACTAAAGCATTCCGTTTGCATGTCGAGGGTCCTCAATGCCTGGAATGGCAAACTCCAGTTTCTCGTACCTGGGTTCGAACCTAAACCCTAAACCTAAGAAACTGCAAGACTAAACTTCCGTCTAAATCAGAAAACCCTCGAGACAAAACCCCTTAACAGGTAGAGCTGAGGTTTAAGGGCTTCTTTCTGTTCAGGGTTTAGGCTTTAGAGTTCAACCCCCGCAAGACCCAGAAGAGAAAAGCCATCCACCCCTACACTTGAAATGCAGGTGCATCATCGCAGTGGGATCTGCAAAGTTTGGCCACCTCACCATTACGGTGTGTACCTGCGATCGCCGGCTTCGTTAGGCGGGTTTTTCTTTGGGAAGCTTTGAGGCTTTAGAGTTTCGGGCTAGGGGTTTAGGGTCTAGGGCTTCGGGCTCAGGGTTTAGGGTCTAGGGCTTCGGGCTTAAGGTTTAGGGTTTAGGGTTGAACTTTTGAATCTTACAGAGGGGGTGGAAGCATGCTGCAGAATTTCCCAAGGCACGTTATGTAGCTTGGCCGTTACGATCTCGCCAACACACCACTTGCGGGCCAAAATCCCTGGACTTGCGAGGACGACGCAGGTCTCAGTGTCCCTTACCTGGGCTGTTCTTGGTGGGCCTGTGCAAACGCGTTAGAGTTTAGGATTTACAGTCAGTTTGTTCCTGCCTAGAAGTTAATGTAGGGGCCTTAATAATTGGAATAGGGTTTTGGAGCCCATTATACTGTAATTATTATGAGGAACACCAACATGATATAGGTAATTATTGAGACCCCCATATTAGAAGTTAAGAGGATGTTCAAGGCTTTGGGGGATACCACTGGGGCAAAAAAAACTAGGACCTTAAAACTAGGAAGCCCGAACCACGGCAAGCAAACCGAGAATCCTCCAAGTTACGTCAAAAAAATCACCCTAGGCCCTAAACCCTAAACCCTAAACCCTAAACCCTAAACCCTAAACCCTAAACCCTAAACCCTAAACCCTAAACCCTAAACCCGAACCCCAACATCTGCAACCCTCAAGCTCCAAACCCCAAACCCTACCTAGACCCCCCAACTACCCTCTAATATACCCTAAGTACCTTCTACTAAGGACCATAAGGGCTCTATTAAAGGGTACTCGGGGGGTCCTGGTATAGAACTCCTCTAGAAACCTTTTGTAGAACCTGTTTTTACAGACTCCGAGGGGCGAGACTTATGGACGCTATGTAGCCTGGTCCGCGGGTTCGCGGGTTCACGGG